ACGTCGACAAATGCAAACATATTGATTGACGTCATCAATGCATGTGCCATGTACACATGGATTGCTGACGCATTCATTTGTGTTGATGTCACAGTTCACGCCTTCATAGCCGTCGTCGCAAATGCACGAGAGACTGGAACTGTTCCTCTCACATGCCCCATGTGTGCAGTTAATCTCCTCACACTGATTACACAGAGTACCAATGTATCCATCCGCACACAAGCAAGTAAATCTGTTGATGTAATCAGTGCAGTTACCATGGTTACAAGGTGACGATGCACATTCGTCTATTTCTACGCTGCAATTGTCCCCGGTGTACCCAGGGATGCATTCACAATGATAGCTGTCTATCAGGTCTACGCATGTGCCGTTGACACATGGGTTGGAAAGACATTCATCGATGTTAATGTCACATAAATCACCAGTAAAACCATTGAAGCAATCACACTGGAACTCATCGATTCCATCAATACAGGTTCCATTGTTACAAGGAGATGCAAAGCATTCATCTATGTCGATTTCACACATGCTCCCATCATACCCTGGGGTGCAATCACATGTAAATCCATCAATGGCATCGCTACAGTTGCCATGGAGACACGGGTCAGATAAACATTCATCTAATTCGTATTTGCAGTCTCGCCCATAGAATCCACTATTGCAATTACATGTGTAGTTAGCAACGCCATCTGTGCAGTTGCCATAGTGACAAGGTGACGACTCACAATCATCAATGTTTATCTCGCAATGGTTACCCGTAAATCCTTGCACGCACCTACATTCGTAGCCTGCCGGGAAATCGCGACATACTCCATTATTCAAACAAGGTGAACTTAGACACTCATCAATTTCCAGCTCGCAGTAGTTGCCATGGTAACCTTCTGCACACGCGCAGTTATACCCGGCGCTGAGAGGTACACATGTCGAATTATTGGTGCAGTTGTTGATGTAGCAGTTATCCTTCAGGAGTTCGCATTCGTCGCCATAGTATTCTGGAAGACACATGCACTTGAAGGAATCGATCTGAAAGAGAAAATGATAATCAACATTGTGATCGGTATATGACCAAGGCTGTAAATTCAGTTTCTATAGATTTCGAACTAAATGAGAAACTAACAAGCATATCCTAGTGTACGTTCCTGAATCTAAAATTGCAAATGGCTACTGTGATCTCGCAAAGAGCGAGAAAGTCAGGAGACTTGACTGTGCCCCTCAAATAGCGTTTTACTCTGAAAATGACATGCTTCCATAAAGATAAAAAAATATGAAAATATGACTCCCTCACTTTCATCGAGATCTCAACGGCCATTTTCCTTTTTTCCCTCTTTTCATCACAAATTCACAAGTCCCGCTTATAGTCTGAACTTTCCTTCCGAAGATTGAGACAAATATAGCGAAATCTTTTGAGTAAAAACTGAAAATTAACTGAAATTTTGTCTGTTGGCTCCAAAATATGGAAGAATCTAAGAAACAGTGCAGAAACATTTGGACGAGAAGGTCTGGTGGTGAAAATCTTAGGTCAACTAGTTCATTAGAGACGCACCTGATCTATACATGTTGCATTGTTATAACATGGGTTACCATAGCAATCGTCTATATCAACTGTACAATTTTCTCCTTCATATCCAGGGGCGCATACACATGTATAGGTGTTAATTTCATCAATACAGATGGCGCCATTCATACATGGCGACAGTGCACAATCATTTATATTAATTTCACAGAGGTCACCCTCGAACCCAAGTACGCATGCGCAGGTGAATGAGTTTACTCCATCAATGCACGTGGCGTTGTTCTCACAGACATCTGCCATGCAGTCGTCGATGTTGACTTGACAGGTATCGCCCTGGAATCCCAGTGAACACAGACAGTTAAAGTTGTCTATCTCATCCTGGCATGTGCCGCCATTTTGACATGGCAGACTGGCGCATTCATCCACGTCAATTTGGCAGTTGACGCCATCGATACCAGGCAGGCATGTGCAGTTGTAATAGTCGATCTCGTGGTGGCACGTACCATTGTTTTGACAGGGGTTGCTGCTGCATTCATCGACATCATTCTCACAGAGTTGTCCCTCATAACCTAATCGACACAAGCATGTGTACCCATCAACTTCATCAAGGCACGTTCCGTCATTCTCACATGGGTTGCTTTCACATTCATCTATATTTATTTCACAGTTAACGCCTTTAAATCCTGACGCACATGCGCAAGTATAACCCGCGATAGCGTCAATGCATAGTCCGCCATTTTGGCATGGTTGACTTTCACACTCATCAATCTCCGTTTGGCATCTGTCTCCTTGGTAACCGTCGATGCAAACACATTCATATCTGTTCACGTGATCGATGCATGTACCATCATGTTGGCATGGTGAACTGGCACACTCATTTATTTCAATCTCACAGTTGACACCTTCAACGAAAGTGATAAATAACCATTACACCAAAGAGCAGTATCAGTTGAGTTGAAAATATAACAATGAGTTAAAAAAAACGTCACAGTCCCCGTCATTTAATTATAAAATACTCATGTTAAAATAATACATGGAACATCTGCAAACAGTTGAATTAATCTAGTATTGTACTGATAACTAAAAAGTTCCATTGATCCAGGTTCAAAATTTCAGAGTACACAATTTCAACCAAATTATGGCTCATACATGTATACATGCTCAAGAAACTGCATTCATAAATCTCAGTAAACTTTGATGTACATTTAATAACAAGTTGACTTATTTGTTAATTCAAGTCTTTGTATATTACCAGGACCTGGGTTTGTTTCAGTATCACCACTATAATTTCCATCAAAATGTAGCCCTGACACCCCTCTACAGTTTCCACTGAGATCCGTAATGGTACACCCATTTATCCACTAGCCCTGACAACTGAAAGTTATATTTAGACCACATGTGTCATGGCGTACTGAAAACCCTAGCATTACAATATAAGCTACTTATTTATTCTGAGCATGCTCAGTTGTTCTCTCAGTGTTGTTGGAAGAGGTAATTTTGGATGAAAATCATGAAAAAGACCCACTTAGAATGTTAAGATCTGGAAAAAAAATTACGTGTATATTCAACAGAGACTTGTTTATGAACCTGCCAAGTTTCATCGATATATGCTGCAAAAATTCTGAGAAACTGTTAGAGATGTAAAGGAAAGTGGGCGGATGGAAACCGGAAATAAGTAACTATATTCCCCTTTTAAGGCTGCGCCTGAAACAGGGCCTAATAAACGCAGAATAAAATTGTCCTTTTACCAAATACCAGCAGATTGACATGTTTGTATTTGCCGCTATGACAAAAGCAGACGTCTTTCTGCACCTCAGTCTACTACATCCGGGTAAGTGGTATATTGGAAGTCTTGGGGCAGTGTGTATACGTGGACCGGGTTTGCAATTCCAAATGAATTTTGTATATGAATGCCTACTTCATGCTGCATCTTTAAAACCATGCCTGGTATGACAGAATCACCTACCTGTATATCCATCGGCGCACTGACATTGATATCGGTCAACGAAATCTTCACATGTCCCGCCATGTTGGCACGGTGTACTTGAACACTCGTTGATGTTCACATGGCATGATTGGCCCGTCCACCCATCGTGACATATTTTGGCACCGTTATTTGTGTTGCATTCGTAGTGTCCCGTACTGTCGTCATGCGGTTCACAGAACACACTGCAGCTTGTACCATAATAGTTTTCATCACAGTAAGCTTTGAGCTGGATATCCATGCTGGAATTATAGCGCACCATTAGAATGATTTACATGGGTGAAGAAAATGTTGTTCAAATTGACCATCTTGAATATGGTTAAATCTCTTAAAAAACATAATTGTTATGATATAATGTCGAACTTCCCCCGTATCATTCATTTAAGTCATTATAGAAGCGCTTCGTCGATAGAGGGCATCTTACACGAAGTAATTATTGGTAGGGATTATTTGACAGGGGTAGATTAAAATATAAAAGCATATAAATGATGTAGCAAGGTCAGGATTTGTTTTACATTGTTTTTAGGTAGCCTTCAATTTACTGGGGAGTCACATATTACTTGCTTAGTAAACATGTAATGGTTAGATTTGAAATCTGAATTTGAAAACTCCAAATTACTTGTACATATGTGAAGGATTGAGCTATAATTGTGTTTTTACACCGAAATCAGCAAATTTCGTTAGGCAAAATTGAGTCAATATATTTAATATATTTGATACGTCAACAAACAAGCTCCTCCCTGATTGGCCAGTTTGGCGGGTTTGGTAGCTGTCTGCACCTAGCGTTGATACTTACGTTGAGCTTGTCCGTGCACCGCTAATAGTATAATCAGTCCATGTTGCTTGGTTACCGGTACGAGCTGGTGTCAGACTAGCCGTTAGATCGTAGTTGTCTATCTTGTCATCGCCGCCCACGTCATCAACGTCGTAAGCCGCAGATTTGAAACGTATACTGCCCTGGGAGAACAGATAGAAAATATGATTGAGAAGTTAAAGCAGAGGGGGGTCGTAGCCTGCGCATGCGCGGGAATTGAATCCCAATCGAGGGTAACAACGCACGTTAGAAACGCAAAGGCTCATGGGTAGACGCTTGTTTGTAAACAACTACACGCTATGGCCTTTTGCCGCATGCGCAGGTGGCGACTACCCCGCTCCCTCACACAAGATACAATCTTTTGTTTTGTTATAGCCTTGGTACAAGAAAACGCGCATTACATAACTTAATTAAATATTGGGTATACATGTTATTATATGATTTCCATTTCACGCAAATGTCATTGGTGCCTTATGAACGTTAGCAGTATTCTGCGACTCAATGACGTTTATCTTGACCATATTCACTTGTACAGACAATTTTTATACAGCAAATACTTATTTAAGGTGACGGGTAGCGAACAGTTATTCAAGATGGCGGGCATCGTCTCGTCAAAAAAAAAATCCGGCTTCTTTGTGCCACCTGGTTTCTACCACAAGAAAGCCGCGCTAAAATACGCCAACATCTGAGCTGATTATCGGCGCCCTTGTTCTAAAACTAATGCTGGTTGGTCATTTTCTTATGACACTTTCTCATGAATATTCAAATATAATCCTGATCGCTGTATGTTTTGATAGTAGCCGAAAAAATAATACTCTGACGTGTGAAAATAGAACATCATCAAAGTTGGACTGCATGTTCTTATTAACGCGGGGGAGTCGTCACCTGCGCATGCGTCAGATTGCCATAGCGTGTCATTGTTTACAAACTAGCGTCTACCCATGAGCCTTTGCGGTCTTAGCATGTGTTGTTATCGTCGCCTGGGACTCAATTCCCGCGCGTGCGCAGGTGAAGACCCTCCCGCTTTAAACCGATGAGGTATGTGATTGGTTGTAACTACAAAGAGAATGCGTGAGGAAAATGCGCTGACGTTGGACACAAACGACCATATACAATATATTAAAGGGCTGTGGTCTTCCTGTTCGATGAGGCCGGGACTCCTTGCGACGCACACAACGCGTGTGACAGACATTGTTTGTTTACATGAAATTCGAACACGCGCTGCGCTTTAAAACGCTACAGGCGTCACACCGCGTCGTGTTCGTTATGGGACCCATAGCAACGTGTACAACGCGTGTGGAATTTGAATACGCGCTGTGTGACGACTGTAGCGCTGTAAAATCACGAGAAGAACGAGAAGAGAACGAATTAGGAAACACAATCGTTTTTTTTTTGTTTTTTTTTGTTGCATTACGAATATCTTGGTTTGAAACCTTTCAATTTGGACTTGGATGTTTGCCGTGAACTCGTACATTAATCTGTAATGAGCTAAGCAACAACAATTACCAGTAACATAGTGGTTGCTGCACTGAACTCACGAACGGAAGTTCTAATCCCACCTAGAGTTGAACACCAAAAAGTGTCGACCCCTATCCCGGGTGAGTGTGCCATTTATTCACAAATAAATGCATAAAGGTCACATGTGCTTGTGTTCGGCAAGACCTTGTTGACGCCAAGATAGGATATAACAATATAATGATTCCAAATGAAAGAGCTCCACAAATTGTAGGAGAATGTAATTTACAGATTTTTTATATCACATTTCATTTTCTAGATATTCAAATTTGCATCAGTATTATGTAGTCCGCCATTTTGATTCTCAAGCAAAGAATTCTGGGTAAAGTGTGACATCATATCCACTGTTGTTGAAAATTGAGAAAATACTTTCATCTATAACTTCAAGTTGAACTTCTCATTGGTTGAATGTTCAGAACATGGTACCGGTTCCAAACATGCATAAAAAATAGGAACCCGGCTCACTTAACACGAGTTATGCTTCCGATTGTGTGTAAAAACCGACGTAACTGCTTGCCCTGAGAAAACTGACTTTGGGAACGAGGTTTAGTTCAACTTACCGTCCATGTTGACAACAGTGTTGAGAAGGGTTGCTCTTTGTTGTTAGGTATGACGTCAGGGAAATCAAACGAATTTTTATTGTTGTAAACCGTACTGCTAGTGATCTTCAATTCACAATCCGAAAAGTCTCCAGAGCTGGAACTGAAAAAGCAAATCAGAGTACCAGTTAAAGCGGGGAGGCTCATGGGTAGACGCTTGTTTGTAAACAACGACACGCTATGACCATCTGACGCATGCGCAGATGACGACTCCCCCGCTGTAAATGTTTCCAAATTCACCGTCTGTAGGATATAATCAGATTCATCGCAGGATTTACAAAAATTACAAAATGCTTTCATGAATATAGTTTGAACAGTGTGCATATTATGGAAGTTTAATTCACAGTTATCTAATAAGTTGAATAAAACACGCCAAAATCATGGTATGTGCATGACTTTCTATGAATGAATTGAACTGTTTTTTTCGATCTAATGTATTTTTGAAGCCACATTGCATTAATAAATACGTATTTATCTGAACACATGTCTTCTTTAAAATGTTTAAAAGTCACATAATATACATTATTATACATCTGTCACCGTAACGCCATAAGTTACAGCGTGCCGTAATTTTGCGGTATTTTACGGTGTATTTTCATACTACCATATTAGGAAATGCGAATTCCAAGTATGGAACGATTACGCGCGTAAGCGTCCTCTAATAATAAAAACAAACATGGCTGCCACCAGGATTC